TAAAATTATGTACCAGTAATTATTTCAACTTGACTGAAATTATTTTGAAGTAATTTTAATCAGAAAAAGCACATGTATACCAATATATTTTTGTGGTTTTACTGCTCGTTGTTTGTTTTGGTGTTTTTTTTTTTTTTTTTTTTTGTACTAGGAATTGAACTCAGGACCTTGTGTTTGCCAGGTAGGTGCTGTGCCACTGAGCTACATCCCCAGCTCTCATTACTGTTTCTTGAACACAGCATCTTTTTTTGTAGTATTAGTTTTGTATTAAAAGCTAGAGTCATTGTCTTAGTTACTCTTCCTTCTCTCATTGCTGAGACAAATACCCGACACTCAAAATGAAGGAAGGAAAGATTGATTTATTTAGCTCACAGTTACTGGAGGTTTCAGTCCATACATACTCAGCTGGCTCCAAGGCAGAGCAGCACATAGCAGAGGGCAACCTTTCCTGGCGGCTGCAAAGAGCAAAAGCTCAAAAAGAGGTAGCAGCAGCCCAAGCAGCTAGCTTCTCTTCCCACCTTACATTGTAATGCAGATTACCTGCCCCAGGGCAGGTGCAGCATCCACACCCACAGTAATCAATCACAAACTCCAGAAGCCACCCCAAGACTGCATGAGGCTTTGGGGGGATAACTATACACAAACCGTAACTGTCATTAATTCAGAAGATGTAAGCATTGGTGTCACAAGTTTTGAGGCTCTGAGCGCCCCCAAATGTATCTACCTTGTTTACAACTTTGAATGTCAGTGCATGTTGAATTTTGGATTGAAATACATTTCCTTAAGGTTATTAAAAATCTTCCTTCTTTGTTGGTAAAAGAATTTGCTAGTTAATGTCTAAAATAAAAAGCTAAGGGCCAGGGAAATAGCTCAGTGGATTAAACGTTACAGTCCTGCAAGAAGTTGTAGGGGCTGGGAGCTCCATCCCTGGGCCTGCCATGCTGGCCCCACCCCCCGGGGCGCACTGATATGGCAATTGAGACTGGGCGGCAGGCCAGTGCCATGTGGTGGAATGTGCCTGTAATCCCTGCTTTTGGGAGGCTGTAAACAGGTGGTTCACTATGAGTCCGATCTAGTAGTGAGACTCTGAACACCCTGTAGACCTTTCCCTAAAATACAAAAACGTAAATAAAAATAAAAAGCTGAATTTATTTGTATACAATGTGAAGAGTAGCTATTCATGTAAGATAACCTCTGAAGAAAGCAAAGGTGAATCTAGGTTCAGGGATGAGATTGGTTTCTAATTTTTTTCTTTGTTCTAAAATAGTTTTTACATAAATTACATTTATTCCTTGAAATTTAATAAAACTTGTCTCTAAAACCTTACAGTCCTGTTATTTTCTTTATGAAAATTCATAATGATTAAATCTATTTTATTTTTAACTTTTCTGTAAATTTGGATTTCACTTCATTTTAGATTTATTAAAATAATTATAACATAGCTGGGTATAGTGGTGCAAGCCTGTGCTTCCAGCCCTTGGGGGGCTGAGGCAGGAGAATCCATGACTTAAAGGCCAACCCGGGCTGCATGGTTCAAGGCCTACATAGTGAGAAACCCTATCTCAGAAAACAAATAAAATAAGTGAAACTATTTATAATATACAGTATCTTTTGAATTTGCAATATAGTTACGACTTCATTGGTGGGGTTTTTTGTTTTGTTTATTTGGTACAGGGTCTCACTACGCAGCTCAGACTTGTAATGATCCTCTTGTCTCAGCTTCCTCAGTGCTGGGATTATAGGTGTGCACCACCATACCCAGTTCTGGGGCTGGCACAGCACACAGGGTTCTGGAGCCATTACAGCATGCTGTACCAGGGATCAAACACGGGTCCTTGCACTTGCCTGACAGGTGCTTAGACTGCTGAGCTATCTCCCCAGCCCATATTGGTGATTTTTGAGTGAATTTTTTTTTATGTTTTTTGGGGGTATTTTTTTGTTTGTATTATATTTTGAGAAGGGATCTTCCTGTTGCTCAGATTGGGCTCAGCCTTGCTATGTATCTCAGGTTGTCTTTGAACTTGTGATCCTTCTGTCTTACCTTCCCAAGTGCTCAAATTATAGGTTCTTTCCAACATGCCTGGATATATATTTTTTAATTGATCAAACTTGCTAGAATGTGTAAATTTTATTAATGTTAACAGAACTATCTTTTCATTATGGAACTTTTCTGGTACATTTTGTTTTCTGTTTCATTATACTCTTGTTTGTAGTTTTTTCCTATTCTTTAGCTTCTGCTTTTTAAACTGTGTTAGATATTTATTTCATTAACTTAATTAGGGTTCTTTCTTTCTGTGTGTTTTTTTTTTTTTTTTTTTTCCTCTCTTTTTTTTCCATTTTCAAAAAACAAAACCCAGGACCTTGCACATACTAAGCATGCACTTAGCCACTGACCTAAACCTCTAGCTTAGTTTTTAGCTCTTATTCTTTTCTAATATAACTATTTAAAACTAAAAGTCTGCCTCTATGTAGTACTTTTGTAGCATTTACAAGGTTAGTCTTTTATTCTATTTAAAAAAAATTTCTTCTCAGACTCATAAGATTTTTAGAATTTTACAAACATTACTTTTTGAGACCTGTCTTTTTGACATGATAGCTAGAGAATATGGTTATAGTATACTAGTTAAAAGTTGTTGAGACATTAGCTTGGCATTTGATCAGTTTGTTTTGTGTGTTCCATATGCACTGTTCTATTTGGAAATAAATTTGTATATGTTTAAACTTATATAAGTGACAAGTTTTTTTTTTTTTTTCTTTTCTGAAGTAAATGCATTAAAAATCATCCTGTCATAATGGATGTGTCACCTTCTTCCTGTGGTTCTTACTAATCTGTTTATTTTGGTTTTGTGCCTTCTAATTATGTAGAAAGGATAATCATTGCTCAGAACAGTGTCTTATTTTGTATATGTAAATTCTGATCTTAACTGTATTGAGACCTTTTCATCATTTGTATAATGAACTTAATGCTAAAGATGGTTTTGGCCTTAGTTTATGTAATATTAATACAGCAATACAAGTTTTTAAAACTTGGTGTTTTTCTGGTGTATTTTCCTTCTATTTTTACTTTTAATGCCCTTAGATTTTTAGGTATGACTTTGAAAAGTGGGTAAACAACTATCACTTAACATTAAAAAGAAATATTTTCTGTGTGTTTACAGTGCTGAAACTGTTGAAATATGGCAGAAGAAGTGGTGGTAGTAGCCAAGTTTGATTATGTGGCCCAACAAGAACAAGAATTGGACATCAAGAAGAATGAGAGATTATGGCTTCTGGATGATTCTAAATCCTGGTGGCGAGTTAGAAATTCTATGAATAAAACAGGTTTTGTGCCTTCTAACTATGTGGAAAGGAAAAATAGTGCTCGGAAAGCATCTATTGTGAAAAATTTAAAGGATACCTTAGGTAAGTTGTTTTTATATATTCTTTTAAATAGATATTGGAGCTTAATTCTGACAATGTCAGCAGAATTGATTTGAAAAGCGTACAAGTGGAACTTCAGCTAAGCAAGATAAGTTTGATTCATAGCAGATATTTAAGCCAACAGATTAGTAAAGGGCCCAAATTCAAAGATAAACTGGTGCTGATGAGCAGAACTCACACCATCTAGCAGAAACTCCTTGAATCATGATTACCTGAAAGAGTTTAGACTTAGAAGAAAATTCTTTCTAATTTAGGGAAAACGTAAAATGCAGAATTGCCTCCTTGGTTGTTAAGGCACTTATTTTACATGGTACATGCCTGAATTTTAACATCTAATGGCTTAACATTTTGAATTTTATTTTAAAAAATAAACCATTTTATTCTATTTGATATGAGTCTTGAACTATGGATTATTATTGTATATTAGCATGTATAGGTCTGATTTTTTTTTCTTACGCCCTCCTTATTTCCTTTAACTATAAATTTATTTACTTGTGATTAATTTTTACTGGTCTTCCAATAGGGTTAGTTGACAGTTGAACCTACTTCAGTCACACTGATCTTGTTTAATAGGAAGGAAATATATATATAAGTGAAGATTGCCCCCTCCCTTTTAATTAAACTATCTGACAGGAAGGAATTGGGAGGGCCAAAATTAATTTTGATATTCAGGCAGACATACTGTCATTTAATTGTTCTTTGTCAGGGGGTTAAAAAAAGTTTCTCCTTAACTATGTAGAGTGATTGACAATATATTATGAAAAAATTGATGTACTGCTTTCTATTAGTTTTCGTTTCTTGTTCAATGATACTGTTATTTGGAGAGGTTTTTTTTTTTTTTTTTTCCTGAACCGGGATTGAAATGAGGCCCTTGTACTTGCCAGGGAAGCACTTATTCTACTGAGCCATCTCCTCGGCCCTGGAGAGTTTTTTTTTTTTTTTTTAATCAACGGAAGAATATATGATGTTTTTAACCACTGTAAAATAGGAAACATAAAATATAGTATAATTCAAAGAATTCTGTAAGGAATTAGAATATATTTTTGAACTAGGTGTTTCTAGTGTTCTGAAGTAATTTAAATAGATCTAATCCTGTGACATATAACTCACCGCCTAGATAAGCTTTATCTCTATTTCAATCTTAACAAACCTGATAACTATTACAATGTTACAGTTATTATTCTATATTCCAGGGTGATTTATGGTTTGCCTGCATAATTATATAAATCCAGTTTTGGCCATTTTCCTCAAAATTTCTGAATTCACTTTTGGTAACTTGAATGCCCATAAATAATAGATTTGTTTTGTAATGATTGTACTAATAGAGACATTATTTGGAAATTGAGAAGGAAACCAAAGAAAGGATGAATGTATTTTTAGCTTTTAAAAAGATACGAATTTTGTTACTTTATTAAAAATAAGTGAATAATGAGGTCATATTTTTGTCCATCATGATTTACTTGTTTTACAGGTTCTTTTATAGTTTAGGAAAAAAATAGTTTTGGAGAGAAGTCTCAGAAAAACACTCTGTATTGCTTGGGTGTGGGCCAGGTCACATGGACTGGGTGTGGGAAGTTTCAGTGTTACAGAGCAGACCGGGAAGCTCGCTGGGAATTATCCAGCACAGTGTTAACAAACTTAGAAAAGGAACACAACATTTTATTCAAAATGGATTGGTTAAACGTCTTTAAAGGTTTTTTCAGTAAGTTGTCCTTTTTATTAAATCTATGGCTTTGTTGTACTTGAATTATAGAGTTTGTAAATTTAGAGGGAAGCTGGGGAAAGAACGTGGTGATTTTATATTAGCTGGTATTTTATGTTGTTTGTGTAGTACAAGTTAATTGATTGGTGAGCTCTTAAATGTTGTTAATTTTGACTTAGATCTTTTTAATTTGATGTAGTTAATTCAAATTCAGTAACTTTCAATTTAGCACATTGTAATTCAGTTATGAAGATTAAAATTATTAGGGAGTAGGGTTAGGTGAACAGATTTTTTAATCCTCTACTTTTAAGTTAATATGATAGCATTTTACTACTTTTTACTTCGATTTTATAATAAGAGTATAATATGATTGTAAAAGAGCTAGTAAAATACTAACATTGACTTACAAGAGCCTAATCTGTGTCTGCTGATGACTTCTTATGATCTTAGAGTAGTAAACTTGATTTGGAGGAATTATTTTGAGCCCAAGGAAACAGAAATAACCTGTCAAGAGATTCTAGGGAAAAGATATTGCATAGAAAAGGGCAGTACAGAAGAGGAGTAGGCACTTTGTTGAAAAATAATGTTCTAATTGTAATATGAGGATTCAATTGTTCTTTTGTTAGCTTTAGTGGCTATGTGAATCTCCACAATGTCTGGTAACTGGCTTACCTTTTGGAGAGTTAATAAATTTTTGCATTTCCAGTGTTTGGGTTAGTTTCCTCTTTAGAGATTTTATTAATTTAACATTTTTTGAGGGCCTACTATGACCTAGGCAAAAATCATTTAGGTTGAATTATTAATATTAACTCTTGGTCAGAGTTACATTCTAGTGCAAAAGTAGATGATAGGTATTTTTTATTAGTAATATAGTGGATTTTCATATGTAGGTATAATCACAAGGAATATTAACTGTCAATCAGAATGGTATAAAAAGAATATATAGTATTGATACAGTGATTCAGTATACATCATTAATTAACAGAATGATAAATTATTCTCTACAGAGTCTTAGGAAGCTGTTAATATTAAATACATGTGTACTCTGAGGGTCAGAATTTGAAATTTGTAACCAATATATTCTATTAATCCCTGTAGCACCTCAGTATATTTATTTTACCAGGCAGCTTATTAAGAGTATAAGTAAGCTATTCTTTCACCTACTCCCTGGATGGATTTAAAAAGTGGAGGAAACAGGATATGTGTGGTAGCCAGAATACCCTTGAAAACAAAAACTGTTTTATATAAAGCAAGTGATTTTTTCATTTAGGTGAAACAAACATGAAAATATAACAGCTTAAATAAACACCTATATGTAATGGATAGAACACCATTTATTAGCCTCGTGGCCTAGGATATAGAACTAAAACTTTCCTGATTTTCTGGTTTTTTATTTATTTATTTATTTTTGTTGGTTTGTTTATATAGGAGAGAGTTGGGCAAGACTAACAATCCTGGAGAGTCCCTTCTAACTCTAAAAGTCTTACAGTTGTGGTAAACAACTAAGTGGTCTCATGTGTGTCATAGGAATCAGGGGAAATCCATCAGAGAGAAATTAGTTTTGAGGAAGAACATAATGGCAGAGTATCACTAAAACTAGGATTTTTAGTTCACTAAAAAACTAGGAGAAGCAGTAATACTCTCTTTGGATCTCTTCTGTTAAACATTTACCCAGTGATGTAGATTGAGGAAAAAAATGACATTTTTAGAAAAGAATGTCATTCATACTGGTGGCAGTTCCCAATAAAAGAACCCAACTTGGGTGCAGTGGTACACCCCTGTAATTTCAGCACTTGAAGGAAGCTGAAACAGAATAACAAGGAAGTGGGCGATTTAGTGAGACTGTCTTGAAATAACAATTAAAAGGTCTAAGGAAGTAGCTTAGTGCTAGAACACCCCTGAATTTGATCCTCAGTACCACAAAACAAAAAACTGAAAACATTGCAGAGAACCTAATCTGGTAGCAATTTACATGAGTAAAAGATTTAGTAAGAGCTGCTGTAGTAAAGTAGGTGAAGGGATGCAATAGTTATGTATGTGTATGTTGGCTAATTGAAACACGATGTAGGTCACTTTAGGTACTTTCATCATGGTATTGAGACACTGACAGTTCCAATATAGAATATATAGAAGGATTTCCAATATAGAAGGATTTGGAAATCAGATTATAGAAGGAAGAATTGTATTGATTTATATAAGGAAGTTATTGCTTTATATAAAGTTACTGATTTTCCTTGTGAAAGGATATAATTGTTGATTACAATTGAGAATTTAAGTGATACACTTTTTTTGTGTAACCTTGTAGTTTTGTATCTACTCTCATTGGTAGCAGGAGATTTGAAATGTCCGTTTTTTAACAATAGAAATAAAGACCAGTTGCCAGTCTGTTTAAACAGTCTTCTTTTTTTCTTGGATAATACATAGTCTTAGACATTGAAATTAACTCACTTTGAAATTAATCTTTATTTTCAGTTAAGTTTTTTTGGGGTATTTTGCTTATGAATATTGAGTTTAACAGACTTTACGATGAGCATCAGCCGTATACAGTTGTAGATGGTATAGGAAATGCTAACGTTCAGTAAGCCAGAATAGTCATCACAGAACTTACACTTTAGTAGATAGGCTTAAAAGACAGAAAAAAGATAATGCATATACCTCAGAAGAACAAGGTGCTAGGATGTTTGAAAAAGAGCTTACGTACTGTTGGAAGTGGGGGTAGGAAATGAAAAATATTAAGAAATGTGGAGTAAGAATAAGTTACATAATTAAAAAGTTTTTATTTGAAATTTTATTTTTTGAATGAATAGATTTTTAAAAGGCACAAGTATAAAGGTTTTGAGGAAAAACTAGCAAAGAAGATAAGCTAAATCATGAAAGGTGAAAACATTTGGAAATTTAAAGGCTTCCATTTCTTATTAAGACAAGATTATTAAAATATATTTTATTTAATATTTATTATCATTATCATGTTACTGTATTTTATTCAGTTCCCAAGACACTCTTATTAAATAAGTTTGCCCAGGGGGGTTCTTCTCTTTTCTTTTTTTTTTTGGCAGAACTGGGGATTGAACTTAGGCCCTTGCGCTTGCCATGCAAGCGCTTATTCTACTGTGAGCTATCTCCCTAGCTCCAGGGGTTATTTCTTTAAAATTAAAAAAACATTTTTTTGAGACAGAATTTTATTGGGTTGCTTCAACTGACCTTGAACTCTTGATCTTTCTAAGCCTCCTGGGTTCCTGGAATTACAGTCATTCACTATTATACTTTTTGTGTTTATCTTTGCTATAATTTTTATTACTTCCCTTCTTATGCTAGTTTTGGGTTTAGTTTTTCTTTTTCAAGGTCTTTAATTTGTAAACTTCAATTGCTGATTTGAGATTGCATTTTTTTTATGTAAGGGTTTAGAATTATGCATTTCTTTCTAGTATTTCTAACGTCTTGTGGAGTTTTCTCTGTCATGTTTCCATTTTTTATTATCCCAAAATATTTTCGCACCTCTGTCATTTTTTTCTTTGACTTCTTGGTTAAAAGTATATTGAATACTTTCTACATAAGTGAATTTTCTAGGTTGTTTTTTCTTTTATTGATTTCTGGGGTCATCCTGTGTGCTCAGAAAGGTATTTTGTATGGTTTCAGTCTCAAGTTTATTGAGGGTTATTTTGTGGCTAACAGAGTTTGTCCTGCAGAGTGCTCTATATGCACGTTTGAAAAATTTGTATTCTGTTTCTTTCTTTTTTTTTTTTTTTGGCAGTACCAGGGATCGAACTCTGGACCTTGCACTTGCTAAGCAGGCTCTTACACCACTGACCTATATCCCCGGCCCCTTATTTCTGTTTCCTTAGGTCTGGTTGGTTTTATAATCTTCAAGTCCTGTGTTTCCTTAATGATATTTTCTTTAATTCTGTTACTGAAAGTGAATATAGATGTTTTAAAGTATTATCATTATTCTAGTTCTCCATTTAGTTTTATTGGCTATGTATATGTGTGCGTGTGTGTGCTACTCTGTTGTGAGGTTATAGGTAACTGTCATATATTCTTTATGGATTGATCATTTTATTAATACATAGTGTTCTTACTCAGCCCCCTTATCAAAAAAGATGTCAGATACACTCATTGGAAGAAAGATAGCCTTTTTAATAAATAGTGCTGGAAAAACTGGCTCTGCACATGCTGAAGATTAAAATTGGACCCATATCTTTCACCATGCACTAACCAATTCAGAATGTATCAAAGATCTAAGTATTATAATAGAAACACTAAATCTGTTGCAAGAGGGAATAGGTAATACTCTCAAAGATATAGTTGTAGGCAAAGACTTTATTTTTTTTTGTATTTTGGGGAAGGGTCTACAGGGTGTTCAGGGTCTCACTAACTAGATTGGACTCGCAGTGATCTGCTTGTTTACAGCCTCCTAAGAGCTGGGATTACAGGTGAGTGCCACCCAGTCTCAATTGATGTCCCAGCACACCTCAGAGGTGGGGCTGGCACTGCAGGCCCAGGGATCGAACCCCCGAGCCACTGTGCCTGCTTGCAGGTGCTTTAATCCACTGAGCTATTTGGCCAGCCCTAGTAGGCAAAGACTTTATGAATAAAACCCTGATTGCACAGGAACCATCACAAAGAACAACTGGGATCTCATCTGATTAAAAAGCTTTAGCACAGCAAGAGAAGCCACCAACAGAGTGAAGAGACAACCCACAATGTGGGAAAAAATGTATTGAGAACATGTGAAGAACTCAAATCAGACATCTCAAGTGGAAAGACATATCCAAAAATGGGCATCTGTGCTTGTTTAGGTAGCACATATACTAAAATTGGAACAATACGGAGAAGATTACATGGACCTTGTGCAAGGATGACACAAATTTGTGAAGTGTTCCATATTTAAAAAACAAAAGTGGGCATCTGAGATGAATGCACACTTTTCAGATGAAGTACAAATAGCAAATATATGAAAAATAGTATCACTGGTCATTTGAGAGATGCAAATTAAAATAACA